ATGAGCCGAGGTGGCACAGCAGTTAGAGTGCAGTACTGCAGGCCACTTTAGCTGACTGTGTTCAGCAGGTCAGCGGTTCAAATCTCACTGGCTCAAGGTTGACTCAGCCTTCCATCCTTCCGGGGTAGGTAAAATGAGGACCCAGATTGTTAGGGGCAATGTAAATATATATATATACATTGCTTACTGGTGTGCTTGCACTTAAAGTGGTATATAAGTCTCATAAATAAATAAATAAATCCACCACCATCAGAATACCAGAAAGGCACAATCAGACTCAGTTCAAAGTTCATGCCACAGGAACAACTCCAAACAAAAGCCCAAGAAGGTATAAAAACCCACTCCCTTCTACATGTGGTCATGTTTTTTTCTCCAGCGCCATCTTTCTGCCTGGCTCTCCTCTTCAATAAACTACAACCTTCTTTCTAAAGCAATTGCCATGTTGTTCATTCCCAGCTTGGACTGGACCCTGATGAAGATTTTTCTTTCAACAGTAACATCATCAGTGCTAGTAAGAAGTGGATTTTGCTCTCATTTTATAGTCTAATCCTGTAGCTCGCTCTGTGAGTGTTGGTAAAAGTGGTCCTGGAGGTTCTTTGTTTGGATTGTGTATTGTTAGCTTGTTTAGCAGTTCTGGGGCACTGTTTACTTCTTGATTGTTGGCGGGATGTTAATCTTGGAGTTAATCTATGCTCATCTGGGTGTGGGGAGGTGTTTTGGTCTTTTTGATCCTTTTTTTTGGTTTATTGACTGTCTCTCTATAATAGTTGATTAAATTCCTAGAATGCCTCATTCACAGTCACAATCATTACATAGTAGCTTTTCAAGGTCTTATTGGGTATCTTTTTTCATGCAATATGATCACTTTTAATGGAAGCAGCCATGCAGTAAATGTTTTAACTGATGAAATAGAGGTATGTATAATCTGTCTCAGACTGGAAAGAACAGGACAACTAGCCTCACCGTCCTTCTCAGGCTACATGCCCCCCCCCCCGGGACAGGGGGTGGGTGCCTGGCCCAGCGTTTGCTCCCAGGGCTCTGGGACCCAGCAGCACAGACTGACCCAGCCCTGCTTTCCTGGGCGGCCACACAGCATATCCGGAAAGCCGGATCCCGTGCCTCCCTGTGCCTTCACCTCCCATTTAGAGGGCTGGCCCAGCAGCCGTGACACTCAGAACCACCTGAGTTGCATGGGCTGTACCAGCCAATGGGCTGGTGGGCTGTGGCTGGACCATGCGTGCTTGATGCCTCCTGTGAATGCACTCAGGGAGCACCAGGCCAGGCTGAGGTGGGCCGGGGCCGGGGCAGTGAGAGCTGGTCCCCTGCTGTCTCTGGGGCAGCCCTGCATGCCAGATCTGGGCCCATCATGGGCCCAGATCTGGCCCACAGGCCTTGAATTGACATGTCTGTTTTAGATTATAATATTATGAAATTAAAACACTTATAGGAGTCTCCATTTTTTTCTCAGTAGATTTTATATATTTTTTATATTTTAAGGCAGCCATATCTCAATTTATTTTTCATTTTTTGAATATTTAATATATCCATAGAGGCACGTTTTTCCACCTTTTGATCGTTTTTTTTTCTTCATTTGATCCTGACAGAACACCAATGTTTTTATTCCTTTCCTAGGTTTTCTTGCCTCCAATTTAATGAGGAATTCTGAACTTTGGCCTTGTAGTTATAACCACCTATATAATTTGATGTTTTGTGTAATCATAGCCACTTCACTGCTCACTCTAAGCCCCAGACAGTGTGTATATGTGTTTTATGAGCACATTAAAAATAGCTATTTTTTGGAAAAAGCCATTGGAGGAAGTAAAATGGATCCAGTGCTGCCCAGAGTGAGATAAGCAGCTCTATAAGTATAATTAATAAACAAATCAATACACTCTGATGAAACCAATGACATTTCTCAAGAAAGCCTTAAGACCCAATAAATGAGTGTGTTACGATTGAACCTGCTAATATGATTTTCTTTTGTGAAAATCAGCTGTAGAAGAATAGAATAGAAGAATAGAATAGAATAATAGAATAACAGAGTTTGAAGGGACCTTGGAGGTCATCTAGTCCAACCCCCTGCTCAGGCAGGAAACCCTATACCATTTCGGACAAATGGCTGTCCAGTCTCTTCTTAAAAACTTCCAGTGTTGGAGCATTTCTAGAGGCAAGTCGTTCCACTGATTAATTGTTCTAACTGTCAGGAAGTTTCTCCTTAGTTCTAGGTTGCTTCTCTCCTTGATTAGTTTCCATCCGTTGGTTCTTGCCCTGCCTTCAGGTGCTTTGGAGAATAGGTTGATTGTAGAATAGGTTGCTGCAGAGGGAAGGAGGTCAAGCAGATGCTCCATCAGCATGTCATTTCATACAGTTAGAAGTTTCTCCTGGTATTTAATGTGCATATGCTCCCTTGCCATTTTAATCAATTGGTTCTTGTCCTGCCCTCTGCAGAAATAGAGAATTTCTCTACTCTTCCTTTTATGTGACATCCATTTAATTATCTGGAGATGGCTATCGTATCTCCTCTAGAATGAAAAAAAAAGTGATTGTGTTCTCTCTGAATAAAAAATAATTTCCAGTTTCATCCTTGTTGCCTTTTGCCCATCTCCCAGGTTTTTTCCTCTGAAAATGTTGGGCAAGAACTGGGCCTGATATACCTGAGATAGAATTTATCCAAGGCTGAGAACAATTACTGCTCATGAATTGCAAAATATGTTTTATTAATGTGGCTGAAAGTTGTATTTGCTTTTCTAGCAGCTGTGTAACAGATCTGAATCTTCTTCAGACTGCGATCAACCGTATCTCCTAAATGCTACAGCTGCACTTTTTATATGTAAAAAAATAATATATTTGCTTTACTAGTCAAACTTAATGCTGTTTATGGTTTTCAGAGAATTCAAATTGCTTCTTCATCTTCTCTTGATTCCACCTAGGATAGGGCAACAGTTTGCCTTCTCCTAGATTTGTTAAAAGTTCTAAACATTTCTATTTTGCTTGGGGGAATTTTTCTAAGTTTTATAAATTTTAATGCAAAAAGAAAATGAAATGGCATTCTTGATTATTTGCACTGATCTATATTCATTGATTAGATAGCAATGATCTCTTCATTGGGAAGGCTACTCTCTCTCTATCTCATCTATCTATCTATGATCTGTCTGTCTGTCTGTCTGTCTGTCTGTCTGTCTGTCTATCTATCTATCTATCTATCTATCTATCTATCTATCTATCTATCTATCTATCTATCTATCTATCTATCTATCTACTGTGTCTATCTATCTATCTATCTATCTATCTATCTATCTATCTATCTATCTATCTATCTATCTATCTATCTATCCAGTCCTTTTTTTAAAAAAAAAAAAGTGCCAGAACTCACACACGTCATACAACCCGCCTTGCCTACCCTACAAGGTTTCATCCAAAAAAGGTGCCAGAACTCTGTTCTGGACGTTCTATGAGAAAAAAAGCCCTGTATCTATCTATCTATCTATCTATCTATCTATCTATCTATCTATCTATCTATCTATCTATCTATCTATCATCTATCATCTATCTATCTAGCCATCCTGTCTATCTATCATGTATTATCTATACAGTGTTCCAGTATCTGAGGGGCTGCCACAGGGCAGAGGGGGCTAGGTTGTTTACCAAAGCACCAGAGGGAAGGACAAGAAACAATGGTTGAAAACTGATCAAAGAGAGAAGCACCCTGGAATTAAGGAGAAACTTCCTGACAGTGAGGACAATCAACCAGTGGAACAGCTTCCCTCCAGAAATCGTGGGAGCTCCATCACTGGAGATGTTTAAAAATAGACTAGACAGTCACCCATCTGAGATGTTATAGGTTCTCCTGCTTGAGCAGGGGGCTGGACTAGAAGACCTCCAAAGTCCCTTCCAGCTCTATTCTGTTCTATTCTATTCTATTCTGTTCTGTTCTATTCTGTTCTTATTATCTATGTCAATCATCTATCAATCTTATGCAGGTAATAAAACTGAATAACCTGAGATGACAATTCTAATTCAGCATCCCAAACTAAGTTTAGGATGTGTTTTTTTTAAAAAAAAAAAATCATTGGTTTTTTTTCTCTTTCACTGATGAAAAATTCCATCTATTTTGATCATTTTTCATTTTTTAAAAACATAGCTGAATAAACATTTGACTGTCTGCCCCATAATTCTTAACTCCTTTCGGACGAAATAAAAAAGACAATGGAAAGATTTCACCATGCATTGTGTGCTTGACACTTTCTAAGCCTCTTAGATTCTATTAATATAGCAATTTACAATTTTATTTTAAGATAAGCATTTGTACAAAGACCCTTGGAAATGTCAGTTGGTTCTTCTGTTCTTCCTTAAGTTTCTTTGAATACTTACTCCATTTTTTTTTCCTGTTTTTATGAGAATATCATTTGGCCTTGTCGATCCAGGTAGACCGTGACGTTGTTCACCATTGCTATTCATTGCTGGTTTTATTTTTTAAAGTCTCACTTGTCTATGTCATCGTCTTGGGTCTGCTGAAGCATTCCTGGTTTTAACATGGATATTCTTTTTAAGGGACCAAATAAGCAATACATCTCTTTGGCAGTTCCTACGGTTCTTCCTGTTCCACATTCTTCCTGTTCTTTTTGAAGATACTTTCTGTCTCCATCTTCTGAGAAGGAGATGATTTCAGAAGCTTGGAGCCTGATCAAGAATTGCTGTGTGACACCACAACTCTACCTGGCAATTACTTTCGGCTTGTATTGCAACTCGCTTTTGGGTCCTGCCTGGAAAAGAAAGAACCAGGAGTTCTAGCAGCTGTTGCACTGTGGAGTACTGCCAAGTTCCGTCACCATAGCAACAGCATCAGCACCATCCACATCCTCCTCCTCCTCCTTCTCCTCCTCCTCCTCTTTAGCATCATCAATATCAGGAAAAGCATCAGCAGTCCTGGTAGGAGCCAGAGGCTGGTAGCATTGGCTGCATTTTTACAAACTGGCTTTGTCGGACTGCTCAGCCACTACAATCTCGAGATGCAGCAATCACCCCTCTATCGTTTTCTGGAAGATGGGCAGATAGAAAAGGAGGGAGAAAGAAAGAGATGAAAAGAGTGCATTGCAGAGGAACCAAAGGATACCCAGGTAAATATTCCCACCTCCTCATTTCTGTTCACCAATCTCTTGCTCTTGATTGCATTTGGATTATTAACATATCTTTTTTGGATTGCTAATACCTTTAAAACAAGTAATCATTTTTTCCCCATTAGCAATGCTTACTTACTCCCCCCTTCTTCTTCTTCTTCTTCCTTTTTTTTTTAAAGAGAAGCTTCTGTTTTTCCTCCTTTATCAGCAACTGGGGGGGGGGAGAGAAACCACATATGTTCAAAAAGAAAAAAAAAAGATTGGTCAAATGTTGGTATAGGTTGTTAAAGGAAAAGGCTATGGGAAAAAAACACAGTATAGTACACAGAGAAGAGAGGCTGGCAGAGTTTATTCAGAATAGAAAGTGAGCAGTTGCTTAGATAAGAGCTTGACATAGCAGTAGGTAATCTTCTTAAACACACACACACACACACACAAAACCCCCCAACACATAGAGGGATATTGCTACACTTTGGCAGAACATCTGTCAGAGTGATTTAATTGGCATTGACTCAGATCTGTTTGTGTCTCTCTGACTGTGTGCTGTTGGTGTGTATGTACAGCTCTGCATATTGTGTACAATGCCCAAAGGTTACATCCTATGGAAATAAGAAAAAAACAAAATAAGCTAAGATGAAATTGGGGGTAGTGAGCTCATGAAAGCCCGTGTTATCAAAACACTGGGTGACACAGTTGATGCCTTATCATGCGTCAGACTATTGGATCACCCAACATAGTATTAGATATACAGAGAGAGACCTTCTCCAAGGTTTACGGCAGAGATCGGCTTCGGCTTTCAGCAATAGACATAGATAGCAATACAGCTTGCTTGCAGTCTTCTCTTTCTACAAAACATGTGCACCTGACTTGATCTGAAGGTATGTTCAGTCTAAGGTGTCAGAGAGTGGGCAGTCTTGCATGCGCAGATTCTTCAGTTCAGGGCTGAATTCAGTTCAGATTCCTTGGAACGGGTGACTAAAGCGAACCACAATGTTATGCACCTTTAAATTGGGGATCAATCCTCGTTATAACTCTGGGACTTATTTGGAGTGAGCCAGTGCATGATTCTGCTGCAAATCCGGCGCATCCAATATAAGTTGAAGGAAGCACGGTTAGTTGCATTTTTTCCCCCGAAATGTTAGCTGTGCATTATAACCGACGCTCACAACATCTTATGTCTGTGCTCCTTTCACCAGCCCACAATCCTAGGAACTTCTAATTTTGTTCCTGACTTGGATGGCTTCTTCTTTTCTTATGTGCATAGAGCTTGATCGTTTGTATGAACAAAGCTAGAATTGTAAAGTTGAAAAGGGAATTTAGGTCATCGACTTGTACTAAATAATAATCATAATAGTAATAATAATAACAATAATAGCGACATGACAAAGTAGCAACAATGGTGCGTTGGAAGATCTGCAAAAAATATCATTTGCCTGTAAGCAAAAACTGGTGGGATCATAAAATAGAGAAAGTCATAGAAAATGATAAAATTAAACTGCTCTGGGACTTCAGAATTCAAACAGACAAGCACCTGCAACATAACACCCCAGACTTAACAATTGTCGATAAGAAAGACAAAAAAGTCTGGATAGTGGACGTGGCAGTGCCTGGAGACAGCAGAATAGACGAGAAAGAACTGGAGAAGATAACAAAATACAAAGACCTACAAATAGAAATAGAAAGACTGTGGCAAAAGCAAGCAAGGGTAGTACCAATAGTAATAGGCTCCTTGGGTGCAATCCCAAAACAACTGGAGCACCACTTGAACACCATCATCGGCATTGACAAATTCACTATTAGTCAATTGCAAAAGGCAGCCTTACTAGGAACTGCTTCCATCCTGTGACAATATCTGTAATACCATCAAACATCCACATCTGCCTATCCCAGGTCCTGGGTAAAGACTCGATAGGTAGACAAAATGCCAAATCCAGTCTGAACATCTGGCTGACTGTGCAATGATCCATAATAATAATAATAATAGAGTTGGAAGGGACCTTGGAGATAATCTAGTCCAATCCCCTGCTCAGAAATGAAACACTATACTATTTCAGATAAACAGCTGTCCAGTCTCTTCTTAAACACTTCCTGTGTTGGAGCATTCACAACTTCTGGAAGCAGGTTGTTTCACTGGTTAATTGTTCTCACTGTCAGGAAATTTCTCCTTAGTTCTAGGTTGCTTCTCTTCCATCCATTGCTTCTTGTCCTGCCTTCGGACACTTTGGAGAATAGCTTGACTCCCTCTTCTTTGTGGCAGCCCCTGAGATACTGGAACACTGCTATCATGTCCCCCCTCGTCCTTCTCTTCATTAAACTAGACATACCCAATTCCAGCAACCGTTCCTTATATGTTTTAGCCTCCAGTCCCCTCATCATCTTTGTTGCTCTTCTTCTTTGCACTCTTTCTAGAGTCTCTGCATCTTTTTTACATCGTCGTTACCAAAACTGGATGCAGTATTTCGATCCAATCTCAGCTTGAACATACTCAGTGCAGAGAACCCATAACAGCTAGTCCTCGGTTAACAACCATTCATTTAGCGACTGTTCAAAATTACAACAGCACTGAAAAAAAGAGACTTATGACTGCACCCCACACTTACAATTGTTGCAATATTTCCAGCCACGCAATCAAAATTTAGGTGCTTGGCAACCGATATGTATTTATGACAGTTGCAGCATCCTAGGATCACATGACTGTCATTTGTGACCTTCCCATCTGGATTTCAACAACAACAACAACAAAATCAATGGGAGAAGTCAAATTTGCTTAGTGTCCATGGCAAAATAATAAAGTCATAAAATGGGGCACAATTCACTCAGCAAGTGTCATCCTTAGCAAAGGAAAGTTTTGGCCCAATCATTGTCATAAGTTGATGGCCATCTGTACTTTCAACTAATCTGAGTTATTTCACAATAAATTGTTATTTATGCAATAATGGCAAATATCTGTAGCTCGGGTGTAAGATGAGGGTGAAATTTCATTCTACGAGCTTGTGGGTTGGTTTCCAAACATTTTGTTACCAGGCTAGGTAACATCTTCAGCAGAGTTTAGGGGATGTCAATGCCAGTATTCTTCTGTTTATAAGGTGTGGGTGTGTCAAGTGACACAATTGACCCATCACAAGACCCATCACAAGATCCTCACTTGACCCACCCACACCTGAAGCTCTTATAAACAAATTGTTATTTATATTTAAGGAGTCAAAATTGAAAAATTCCCCAGAGAAGTTGGATATTACTTTTAAATTGTACTTAAAAAACAGAATTTACTGGGCCTTAGAAATCAGTCAAACCCAGAGAAAAAGGAGATGGAGAATATTCTGGTGTGCTTAGGAATGTGGTCCTTTTTTTTTTTTTTGCCACAATCCTCTGTGCAACTGCCACTTATAATCCTTCCTTCATCATTCCTGCCAACAGAAATAACAAGAGACAGCTTTTTTCTTTTTTCAAATTTAGGATTATGTAGCGGATAAAAATAATGCATAATAGTAAAAGAATAGGACCTGTAGGAGATTACCAGGATGAGCCTGAGGGAACCATCAAAGGCATTATCAGTCTCGAACCCCTTTGCGCTCACAAGAAATCTAAATCCAGCCCTTTGGATTTGACTTTGACTTTTATCTACTACCAATTTGCTGTGACCATTAGTGATCCAGATTCTTGTAGAGAGCTTAAGCTTGCAATATATTTTTATACCCATTTGAACTGTTTGGATCTTCTGATTTCCCTGGCACTTGACAGGACCTGTGTTAGTTTGTGTGTGCATGTGTGTTTGTTGATATGTACTTCACTATGTGTGACTTTTAGAGAATGAAATAAATTGATAGCATTCCATATCTCCTGTGAGATACATTTAGGACAAAAGGGACAGTCATGATGAGTTACACCACTTCCCTACATGTTTCCAGAATAACATAGTTTGGATCCATAAAATACATTACTAGAAATATGACATGGTACAATATACTGCAAAATAAACTAAAAACTTTTATTTTTACCAGTTAAGAACCAGCAAATACAAAATCTGAATCTGCTGAAAAGAATCTGTCTAAACATTCCAGTAGATTCAGTAGATTTAGATTTTTAACAGCTAATGATGCAAAAGTTATCTCCTCCTCCTCCTCCTTCTCCATTCTGCATGCTTTACAAGGAAATTAGCAGTTTTCAACAACTTTTAATTTTAAAAACAGGAACTGAACTAAAAGCTAAAACATACAAAGAATGGTTGCAGGAATTGGGTATGTCTAGTTTAATGAAAAGAAGGACTAGGCATAACATGATAGCAGTCTTACAATATTTGAGGGGCCATCACAGAGAAGAAGGGATGTCAAGCTATTCTCCAAAGGACCTTAAGGCAGGACAAGAAGCAGCTGATGAAAATTAATCAAAGGGAGAAGCAATCTAGAACTAAAGAGGAATTTCCTGACAGTTAGAACAATTAACCAGTGGAACGTCTTGCCTTCAGAAGCTGTGGGTGCTCCAACACTGGAAGTTTTTAAGAAGAAATTGGACAACCATTGTGTGAAATTTTGTAGGGTTTCCTGCTCGAGCAGGGAGCTGGACTAGAAGATCTCCAAGGTCCAACTTTCTATTTTTCTGCTAGGTCTATAAGGAGAGCATGACACCTTCAGAAAGCCTATCCTGTCCCTGGAATTAGTAGACAAGGCCTTGCAGCAACATGGGGAAAAAAACCACACAATATGGCTGCTTCAATTTTAGAAACACATTAACAATATAGTTTTCAAGGAGATCATTTCTCTAAAGATTATTGAAGCAAATGACCTCTTTGAAGATTAATCATTCTATATCATCTATATTTTTTTTAAATATTTTTATTCCTAATACAATTAAAACAACAATGGACAAACATGACATTCCAGAATGAATTTTCCTATCAGTTCCTATCATGGTACAAAAGCTTAATATATTGTTCTTAACCTCTATATAAGCCTTATCTTCTATACAATACAATTATATATACAATTATATCTACAGTTATA